AGCATGTACACAGCACAGAGAAGAGAGGAAGTGGAGCTCCAACCCAAGAATTCCTAAGGAAGCGGTCCCCTCTCACCCCCACCGCTATCCAGTCACATGGGCTACTGAGAAGCCATCGATCCTGGGGTTTCACCCAGCCACCATGTCTCCTATGGCTCCATTTACATACCATGTCCTCAGAGTCTGCCTGCAGCTGCAGCGAGTGAGAAAAACTGAGGAAGGGCGGCTAAAGGGTACGAAAGGAAGGAAAGGTCACATGAACTTGTCGGGCTATGGCACCTAATGAAGAAAATGTTGCGGAGCTCCCAAAAAGTCATCTGAGCCCCTCATCCAAAGATCATAAAGATGTATGGAAATGTTAATTACCTCTCCAGATTTTGGTCAGACCCTTCCTGCTTGGCAGTCTCAGGTAGTGGCAGGTGAGTGGAAAGTGCTGTGCCGCTAATGATTTCATTGTAGGAATTTCCAGCAATTCAACGATGAGAATGTTTATCTAGCAATAGAAAACAGGAGCAAGCATATATTTGGTTTCCTTTCCTTTCCTATTTTTGCCAAAGTAGCGCAGGAGTTAACACGTTTGGGCTGCGATCTTTCCCGATCTTTCAGGTCCGCAGTTGGGAACCACCTGCTGGTCCCTCAGTAGCAGGAGGGGAATTTCTGCTCCGTCAAGTGTCCCAGCCTCGCAGACCCCTGGGGCAGTTCTGCCCCTCTGTATAGGGTGGTTATGAGCCGGCATTGAGCAGATGGCGGTGAGGGAGACTTTTGCCAAGTCACAGTGCCTGCCTGCCAGGAGAGTGCAGTATGTAAAGTCCTGTCAGTACCAGCTCCTTGGGGTCCACGTTCTGGCGAGATACAGAAAGGAGTCTTCCAGCAGGCCAGGACCAGACACGTCAGTCTCTTAGAAGTGGGCATTTCCCTCGTTTCCCCTGAGGTCAGCCTGGCTCTTGTGCTTCATGTCAGTGTTTCCTTTCCTTGTGGGTTTTACAAAATAAAGTCTTGAAGGTTCATCACACAGAGGAGGGCAACCCTTGAAGGAGCAGAGTTTTGAACTGGGGACATTCTGAGCAGCATTCTGTTGGTGTCAGCATCTGAATTCCTTGTACCTCCCATGTGAGCCACAGGGTGTCCAGCTTCCCGATCTGTTCCTGGGCGAGGCGGGGCAGGGCCGGGCACACCTGCTGTTTGCCGGCTGTTGATGCTGACTCTCCTTCTCCGCATGCAGTGTTCCTGACGGGCAGTGACAGGATCCCCATCTACGGCATGGCGAGCCTGCAGATCGCCATCCAGTCCACAGCCAGCGGAGAGGAGTACCTGCCAGTGGCCCACACCTGCTACAACCTTCTCGACCTTCCCAAGTACAGCAGCAAGGAGATTCTGCGCGCTCAGCTGACTCAGGCCCTGGACAACTATGAGGGGTTCAGCTTGGCCTGAGGCCCCCTGGCTGGCCTCAGATGTCCCTTTCCTCCTCAGTGTCCACATTGAGGCCTGTGTGGAAAATCTTCAGGAGTGGTTTCTATTTTTTTATTGCATAAGTGACTAGGGACTTTTGAATCCTGAGCCACGTTGATGTGGTCTCTGGGGTTGTGGGCAGTAACCCTTTGGGCAAAACCCAGCATTAGGGATGGGGTGACAAGTGGCCCTTGTCCAGGGCCTTTATGTTTTGTTCACCAAGTACCCAGTGCTTCCTGCGCTCATGACTGCATTGTTCTCGGAGAGCTAAGTCGGCAGTGGCTCCTTCATCTCTTTTCCTGGTCCCCAGTTCTTGTCACATGACTCCCTTCTTTGGCCATCCCTTAGCGTCTCATTCCTCTGCAAGAACAGTTTTGACTGACTGGTCTGTCCCTTCTGACCTGAGCGTGCAGGAGGTCTCCTCTCTGCGACCATGTGACTTGGCACGTCCCACAAGAGGAGGCAAGGACTATATCCGTTCCAAAAGGCTGAGACTGGGTCCAGGATGTGGGTGGCTCCCTGGAGAACATATGGGAGCATTTTATGAGCACATCTCTCTTTTTCAGGGAGCGGGGAGTTCTTGAGAGAAGCATTCTTCGTATGCCTGTGCCTAGTTCCCTGAAATGGGTGGAGTAGTTTGCAGTTGCAGCCAAGCCGAAGGTTTGTGTTGCTCGGCCATGTCCCTTGTACAAGAAGGTGGAGGGACAGGCTCCCCCAGCCTGTCCATTTGCTCACTTTGGGACATTGAGTTCATTTTTCTATGTCTTCTCCAAAAAAAATTAGAAATGGTCAGTTCTTGTGTCTGCTGCCACTCTC